AAACTGAGTCTATGTAAAAATCCACCAACGAAAGACTGCTTTGGCTCCATGCTGGAAAGGCCCTTTCCAAGTCCTGTTAACCACCAACACCGCTGTGAAGTACCAAGGACTGCCTACCTGGACCCATGCTTCTCACTGTAAAAAGACCCCTCCACCTCGGGAGGACTCTCCGACTAATAAGCCTATTTCTCCTTCTAGCTCTGCTGTGCCTTCTGGACAGCAGGAAAAAGGAAAAAAGGACAAGGTGAAGTGCTAGTAACCTCTCCCTTGTCCACTGACAGACCTACTGTGCCTTTGGATTTTTCTAAAAAAAGCAAAACCATTACAGGGTGATGTGCTAGTAACCTCTCCCCTGTATAATGCTAAACCACACTGTTTCAGGAAAAGAGAAGAAGAAACACTTGCTTCATTGAAACCACAAAGTCCAGAAATTCCTGACTACAAAAGACATTAAGAACTGACCCTGGTGAAGAAACAAAAAATTATACACTGGCAGGAAGAAACTTGTGGGACCCATGCTTGGGAACGTGGTATTGATTGGATTTTGGGGTTTATTCTACAGGCTGCGCCCTGTGTTTTGGATAAGTCCTTCAGCATGTATTGCCCTCCCTAACTGAATTTTAAATAATAAGTACCAAAGGCACCTTGTTGCCATTGCCTCTGCCATCTCCTCCATTACACTATTACCCCTGTAACACATCCAAATACAGACAATGCCATATATTTGATAAAACCAATGGCTAAGGCCTTCACACTTTAGTGATTTATTTAAATATTGTTTAAAAAATATTTTTAAGGTTCAAAATATCCCATATAAGTAAACAATTAAATGAAAAAAAAAATAAATCAGTAAAAATAAAAGTATATGATATCACTACCAGTGAACCCCAAGAATCTGTAATTGCAATTGATGGGTTCTATAGCGAAGTAAATATGATGGCTGTTCCTGGAATTTGCACTGTGTTAAATGAAAGAGGCCCTTATTGTTATTTGGTCACCCAATTAGTAAACAATCAAATGAATACCCAAAGAGTTTGTTCTGCCACTGGAAATTTTACCTGCATAGAAATTATTCCAGTGACTAATAATGTTATCTCCACCCTTAGTTCTATGACCCAGAAGTTGCTAACAAAAATGGTATTAAATATCACTGAGGCTGAAAAGGCATTGCAGTAAAATCTAGCATGTTCAGAAATTCAGGATTTCCTGAATGACCAGCTAATGGCCATTCGGAATGATCTAGAGCATCAGGCTTGGCCCACTGCCCTTATAGACACATCAGGAGTACCATCTGATCTGTAGCTATGGAGACATACTTGAAGACTTTCTGAGTGAAAGTGCGGACGTTCTCAGTGCTCCTTCCAAGCATATGGACTGGTTGGGAGGGTGTGGGCTCCCACATACCGAATCCTGCCGAGTCCATGGAAAGGATGCATGTGGGATTGGGTAATTCACCGAGACATCTGAAAAATTAAACTACCTGGTATGCCCAATCAATTTTTAGTCAGTGCTCCTGGAACTACACCTAATATTTAAATGGGGTTAGGGAGTCAATGGACATTTTGGCCGTTAAAACCCCCACAGCTTCAGTGTATCCATAAACTGAAGCCAGGAGAAGTTGCTACTCTTCATAACTGCGTTTGCTGGAAGGGTAGGGGACAAGAAACTACCCTGACAGGACACTTACTTTTTCAAGCTAATAATAGCTGTGTGTATGTTAAAGCCACTGCAGGCAATCATATTATTTACTGGCCTGCAGACAGAATTTTGCAAGTAGCCCTTAGGTTCCAAATACCCTTTAATTGAACTAGTTTAGTACCTAATTGATTTCAAAATTTGCTTTCACTGTTACCAAAGGTTCAGAAAATCTCTGAAATACAAGGGCAAATTCACATGCTTCAAAATATATATCAAGTTAAAAAGTATGCCTTTCATACAGCTTATAAAGTGTCTACTTTATGTAATAAGTATGATGTATTGTGCTTTATGACTAAAATTGTACAACAACCCCATCATATTATTGCTATGGAAATGTTATTGCTTGTGTTGCTATTAGTTAGTTTAAAATTATGTTATTGTAAAGAACGTAATAATAGTAATACCTTTCATGTCCACGCTTATCATGCATTGTCATTACATCCAATCAAAACCCCTAAGGTTGAAGCATCTAAAGTAAAATCTGAATTCCAAAACTTAATGCAAATAGAGATTTGAGAATGTTTGTTGTACTAGTAGTACAAAAGGGGGGGTTGTGGAAGCAAAAAATGAACTGACAGGAAGGGGATTGCAATGCATGACAGTTTGTTAGCAAGAGTCAGGCTAACTGTAACCCTAATGACGCGAAATTTGTAGAAGTGAGGAGTGTGTGAGGCAAGTGGGAAAGAACTGTGTGAGAAGTTGTTGCGACCTTGTGTAAATAATGTGTAAATAATACGGAATGTAGACTAAGAGTCTACATTAGTGAGCAAAACAAAATATCAAAATGACCTATGTATAAACAAAATGCAGCTGTTGCTCATTATTGCCTGTAACAAAAGGTATAAATGCTTGCTGTAATTGTTTACCTGTTGAGAGACCTGTTTAGCTCTCTCCCTCTATGCAATTAATAAAAAAAAAAATAAAGTATCTGACTTGCTGTACCCAAACAAAAAGTGAGAACTCTGTTATTCTCCGACTGCATCAATCTCCATCTGTCTGAGTTCCAGCTGTCTTTCATGTTCCTTCTGTCTTTCCTCAGCTTCAAATCTGGCTAATTCCAGTTTTTTCTGGACATCACTTTCTGTCATCCTAGCCTTTCTGCACTTAACCTAGCTTAACCCGAGACCTGGAAAGAAAAAAAAAACACCCAGCTTGTGAATTCCCTTGCAGGACTTAACTACTCTGCCCTGGGGGCGGGGGGGAACTCCAGCTGCTCTCAGCTAAAAGAAAAAAAAAAGTCCCTTTAAAAAAGAACCTCCCTGCTTTCCAAGCAGCCAAAAGAAAAAAAGAGTCCTTTTAAACCTTCTGTGCTTCTGGTGCAAAATGATCCCACAGCGCTGCCACCATGTCAGGGTTCCCTCCACACTCTGAACTCTGGGGAACAGATGTGGGGACCCGCATGAAAGACCCCCTAAACTTATTTCTACCAGCTTAGGTTAAAAACTTCTCCAAGGCACACATTCTTCCTTGTCCTTGGACAGTATGCTGCCACCACCAAGTGAGTTAGACAAAGATTCAGGAAAAGGACTACTTGGAGTTCCTGTTTCCCCCAAATATCCCCCCAAACCCCTTCACCCCCTTTCCTGGGGAGGCTTGAGAGTAACCAAGGTGAGCATAGACCAGACCCTTGGGTTTTTGGGACACTAAAAACCCAATCAGATTCTTAAAAACAGAACTTTTATTATAAGGAAACAAAGTAAAAGAAACAGCTCCGTAAAATCAGGATGGAAGGTAAGTTTACAGGGTAATAAGAGTTAAAAGACAGAGGATTTCCCTCTAGGCAAAACTTTAAAGTTACAAAAAAGCAGGAATAAACCTCCCTCTTAGCATAGGGAAAATTTACAAGCTAAAACAAAAAGATACTCTAACGCATTTCCTCGCTATTACTTACTATTTCTGTAATATTAGATGTATCATTTTACTAGGAGCTGGATTATTTGCTTGGTCTCTCCCTTTGTCTCCTGAGAGAACACCCACAGACCACAAAACAAAGCTTCCTCCCTACCCCGGCCCCAGATTTGAAAGTATCTTCTTTCCCCATTGGTCCTTCCAGTCAGGTGCCAACCAGGTAATCTGAGTTTCTCAATCCTTTACAGGTAAAGGAGGGATTTTATGCTACCCATAGCTATATGTTTATGACAACCTTGTTTTTAAGTAGTGGTCTGTGTTTTTATTTGTAAAAAGAAAATCTGGGGATTTTTCAGTGTTTATTTTCCAAACCTTCAAACCAGCATGGAATCAGGATAAATATGAAAAAATTAAAACATTGTGAAAAATTGTGGGGGGCGGGGATGGAAAACCTTTTGCAATATAAACATTTTATTACAGTATAATGGAAACTTTCTTTTAATGTACAAAGGTGTATTTTGTCTCTCTCAGTAGAAAGAGAAAACGCCAGTGTTTTCTGTGTGTCACACAGCGATTCCAAGTTTTCAACAATGAACATTACCTTGGTGCGCAGAATCTGGCAGTCATTCTGGTTACTTGCCAGTCTCTTCAGAGTTTCTGCTTGAGAACCAACAAACTCAGGATGATCTAGGAGATGCATTAGAACAGTCGAGGCGTTATTTACTTGACGGGCAGGAAAATACAAGCTCCTCTACCCACGTGGCACAACAGGGGGGCCTCTGCACTCATCTCGCACTGTGTAAAACAAGGCCTTCAAATTGTGCGCATGCTTGAAAATGGCCCTGAATCCAATAAGGCAAAATGTAATTTCTTTCATTTCCTCTGTAGCAGTAGTTGCTGACAGTGCAACATTAATCAGATGAACAGAACAGATAACAGGCAGCAGCTCCAGCTTCTGATTGAGTTTAACGTCCCAGGCAAACTTATCCATGTAAGATGCAGAATTTGTGTTAGTTGTGGCCAATATAGCTGGTACATCTCACACATGTTAGTTATGGCTGCGACGACAAAACAGTCGTGAGCAGAGGGGACGAATGAAAGGTACTCTGGGTGTCCAAAAGTGCATAGGCTGTCGTTTCTAGAGAGCTCTTGGCTTATCCAGCTAGAGGACTGTTGTCTTAGGCATTGCAGAGAAGGGAGCAGGGTAAAGATTGGTTGAGTGGCCTGTCTGTGTCTTCAGTTTATGCAAATGAAAGGGGATGGCTACTTTGAGCATCTTTGCTTTGATAGGCAGCCTAGGGAAGGGGGCCATGGAGGTCAGAGTTGAGAGCCAGGATCTGTTCACGTGGGGCTTCTCGTACTGCTCTCTCTCTTGTGAAGGCCAAATTGTAGCACCCACCAGTTAGAGGACAATGCGCTGGAATGGTCTGTGACTTCCAGAGTGGGTGCTGGTTAAGACTATGCTTTTAGAAATCATTTCTTTGGTTGGTGACTGGAGAAGGGTGGTTGTAAAAGCCTGGTCATGCTAACCACACTGAGGATCTGTAGTGTTTCTTTCTGAGCATGACAATGGCAGAGAGTGCTGTTCTGTGACAGCTGCTTTCTGCTGTAGAAAAGTATCTTGTTCTTCCTCACACAAGCAAGAGAAGGAAACATTGTCTGAGTGGCTAACTTTGATTGTGTTCTGTTGGGTGTGGAAAAAAAAGCTTGGGTGTGCCCACTGGGAGCTGTACTCCTTGTGGGTTTGATGTGCTGAATTCTTAGCAGTAAAATGTTCCATCTCCTTTCAGGTGTTGTGTGAGTGGGTAATATCTATCAGCAGGCTTTAGAGAAGGGCTTTTTTATACACATTACTGTGTCTCAATTATGTCTTTGCTCCTAGTCTCTGCAATCAGCAGGTTTACCATAAAAAGATTGTCTTTTATCTCTTGTGTGTTCTACTTCATCTGAATAGCTATTTCTCCTTCCTTCACTTTGAAATCAACAAACAATAACCAATGGCCAAGAATTGGAAGGTCCAAAGCATCAGGGGACTCCTCAAAAATCAGACTAGATACCACATCTCCATCCATTCGTTGCCTCAGTTTTGCTACTAAAGCATCATCATTATCTTTCAGATACTTATGAATCAGGTTGTCCGCATTAGGGAGGGTTTTTGCTGCTGGACATTATTGCTGCACAAAGTCACCAATAGGACCCCCCAGCAATTAACAGTGATTGTCTGACAAAACAAAGAGCATGCACAAATTATTGACACGCTCGTGCTATGTCCTCTCTTTCATTAAAGCCCCACTGAAAGCTCCTGATATTGACTGTTTATCCCAAAGCTCACTTTCTTCTTTAAGCTTCTGGTGTTGCTTGCTTTTGACATGCTCCTTTATTCTGTCATCGCGAGCGCTGACCTCAAACCTGCCGTACTTGCAGCGCAATGCATCCTCTTCACTCCTGTCTTTACTTGTCTTGAAAAGTTCCAAGCACGGATTTTCTTGTTGCTACTCAGGCATAGATTTGCGTTTTCACCCCATGTTTAACTTCTTAGCTTATCTTTATCAGTGGGTTGGTGATTGATTGATTCATTGATTGATTAAATTCAGCACCGCACTAAACGGATGCAAAGAAATAGGCGGGCAGCATCTCCTTGTGGGCCAATCATACCGCGAATATTAACATTATTTGATTTTTCCAATCTTCACCGTATGTGGGTGTTTTGTGTTTTACACTGCGAGACTCCTTCAGTCTCAGAACTTCAAGATGCAATTGCATAAGTGTTAGTGTTTAACAAAAATAAGTACCTGAAAAAAGTATTGAGTGGTTTGATAAATGGGTGTAAATCAGTAAAACCTGAACTCCTTTAATTAATAAGCCTGGTAATTTATCAGTGAAAATGTTAAAAAAAAAAAAACACCCCTAAAAATGCAGACTACTACTTTGAAGTCAATGCTTCCAGAGTGATTCCCAAACATTTTTATGTCAACGCTCCTGCTCCCTGAAGAATGGTACGACTGGCCCTCAGGTTCAGGAAACACCCCTCATTGGAGAGCCCGGCTCCCCTTTGACTTTCTCCAGTTTGGTCTCTGGTACCAAAGAAACATGCTCTTGGTGTCCAAAACTGCATAGGCTGTCGTTTCTAGACAGCTCTTGGCTTGGCCAGCTAGAGGATTGTTGTCTTAGGCATTGCAGGAAGGGAGCTGGGAGAAGATTGGTTGAGTGGCCTGTCTGTGTCTTCAGTTTATGCAAATGAAAGGGGATGGCTACTTTGAGCATCTTTGCTTTGATAGGCAGCCTAGGGAAGGGGGACATGGTGGGCAGAGTTGAGAGCCAGGATCTGTTCACATGGGGCTTCTCGTAGTGCTCTCTCTCTTGTGAAGGCCAAATTGTAGCACCCACCAGTTAGAGGACAATGCGCCGGAATGGTCTGTGACTGGCAGGGTGGGTGTGGGTTAAGGCTATGCTTTTAGGGATCATTTCTCTGGTTGGTGACTGGAGAAGGGTGGTTGTAAAAGTCTGGCCTCGCTAACCACGATGAGGATCTGTAGTGTTTCTTTCTGAGCATGACAATGGCAGAGTGTGCTGTTATGTGAGGGCTGCTTTCTGCTGTGGAAGAGTGCTCTGTTCTTCCTGAGACGAGCAGGGGAAAGAAACACAGTCTGAGTGGCTAGCTTTGAACTTGTCTTGTTGGGTATAAAAAAATTTGTGGGTGGGGCTACTAGGAGCTGTATTCCTTGTGGGTTTGGTGTGCTGAGCTGTCAGCAGTGAAATACTCCATCTGCTTTCAGGTGTTGTGTGACTGGGCAGTATCTATCAGCAGGCTTTAGAGAAGGGCTTTCTTTGTGCACGTTACTGTGTCTCTATTACATCCTTGCTCCTCATCTGTGCAATCAGCAAGTTTACCATAAAAAGATTCTCTTTGATCTCTTGCTTGTTCTACTTAATCTGAATAGCTATTTCTCTTTCCTTCACTGAGTCTGACAATACTTCTCCCCATGGCACCTGCGAATTGTCCTCCACGCTGGAACAAATGGATGACGCTTCCCTGCTAACACCAGCGGAGCCACTGGTGCTTGGGAAGATTTTGTCTGTTCCCACGTGGCAAAGCTGAGATCGGCAGGATAGTAGCCAGTATTCCCACCATTCTTGCTCTCTGAGAAGCCTAGAACATGTCCCCAACTCTAGGTTACACACTCCTGAGCGACTTTCATCCAGGTGTATAGCCATTAGAAATTGTAACGGGGATTATCTGGACTCTGGTCCGGTTCAAAGAAAAGCCTATGGCTCTATAACCTTTGTTTGGGTTCCCTCCCCACTCTGAACTCTAGGGTACAGATGTGGGGACCCGCATGAAAGACCCCCTAAGCTTAATTCTACCAGCTTAGGTTAAAAACTTCCCCAAGGCACAAATTCTTCCTTGTGCTTGGACAGTATGCTGCCACCACCAAGTGAGTTAGACAAAGATTCAGGAAAAGGACCACTTGGAGTTCCTGTTTCCCCCAAATATCCCCCCAAGTCCCTTCACCCCTTTCCTGGGGAGGCTTGAGAGTAACCAACGTGAGCACAGGCCAGACCCTTGGGTTTTTGTGACACTAAAAATCAGGATGGAAGGTAAGTTTACAGGGTAATAAGAGTTAAAAGACAGAGGATTTCCCTCTAGGCAAAACTTTAAAGTTACAAAACAACAGGAATAAACCTCCCTCTTAGCATAGGGAAAGTTCACAAGCTAATACAAAAGATACTCTAACACATTTCCTTGCTATTACTTACTATTTCTGTAATATTAGATGTATCATTTTAGTAGGAGCTGGATTACTTGCTTGGTCTCTCCCTTTGTCTCCCAAGAGAACACCCACAGAGCAGCAAACAAAGCCTTCCCCCCCCCCCCCCCCCCCCCCCCCC